CCCAAAGCGGCCTCGCTTAAGGCTCTTTTAAGTCTAGACTTCTGTGAAGGTAGACAGCTGAAATATAATCAATCAGTCAATGAAATTCGCTACTTGGCTTTTACATTGAAGTACATTTTTTGCTAGAGGCATTTTAAAGCCTCTAGTAAGACGTAAAGGGAAAGCTCTACGGGGCGCGCCCGCGAAAACGAGCACATCTCGGAAGGGGTGTTATCTCCGGTTATTCCGTCCAGAGAAGATATTTCAGTTAATGGAGAGTTTTATACCTGGGAGCTCAAGGTCACGGTGTGGCTTTCTTACAGTTTAATTCTCTCACTGTTCCGAAACAAGGCTCTGAGACCTCAAATCAGTGTTGGGGCTGGCTCAGGGGTTCAACTTCCCACCCTCGCCCCAGTGACACGGCCCCTGGCGGGGTCCCAGCCAACCCCCGGGACGCGACGCCCGGCTCCGCAGCCTCCAACAGCCCCACGCACCCGCGGCGGCCTCCGGAGACCCCACTCCCTCTCCCAGGCACCGTCTGTCACCCCGCCCAGAACCCAGGGATTCTGAAAGCACAGAAAAGAGACCACATACTTCAGCACAGGTTCTCGCTTCTGACGCCAGGACAAGGCTGGAGGGCTGCGCTGCGGTCCAGTCCGGGGCACAAGATCACGATCCGAGCGGGCGCCGCGGCAGCTACAGGGAAAGAACACGTGGGAGCAGCTATGTCAGTAGCACTTAAACCCTTCCAGGCCGATTCGTTACGACGCGAGAAAATCTAGAGGAAAAAGCCGGACCAACAGCGAAATATAAAATCCCTAAGAATTAATTTTTGTTAATGTCTGCTTAGACGACGCTATTTCGAGCTTCCTTTCCAATAATGACCTGAATCTGTCGAAACTCGTTCGAAGCCTAATTTACTTAATCGTAAGTCCTTAACGGTCCCAAAAGAGCTACACTGTAAACAGACCCTAATACACATAAACATTACCAGTTAAGTTAGAAAACTCCACAGATCATCGATGAGTTTCTCGGAACTTATTTAATGTTAAAACTTGTGGGTCAATGTGCTACCTTAAGAAATAAATAAATTCATCGTTTTTAGTATTTCTTGTCGGGAGTTTGTTTCCACCCGGAGAGGGATGGGAGAGCACCAGAGCCCGCTCAGCTTTTTGATTGGCTGTTTGGGAAGATTTTTCTGGCGCACATGCGTATTGTGTCTCAAGGGCCGGTTTAAAGGAAGTCGGTGTTGAAAGCGGGCAACTGAAGCTGTGGTCAGATGAGACCTGGGACCGGGTGGTTGCTGGGCGTCCGGGAGTTCCAACGGGGTGAATTTAGGTGTCCCACGGTTACATCTAGAAGGGTGTGTAAGATTCTGTCTGGAAAAGGGTTTTAAGCTTCTTATATCGGTGATTTAAAAAAAAAAATAGCGTTTCGGTTTAATCTGCGCGGCTCCCAGTTCTCAAACCTTAACCCCGCCCGGTTCCATTGCCCTCTGGTTGGGGCCAGCGCTCTGAATTATACCTTAATTGCACCTTAATTGTACCTTGCTGTTCCTCGTGTGGCGGTTCTCGTCACCCTCACCTTCGGATTCACTGGCGTGGTGTATTAATAGGCTGATTGGATTAATGGGTAACTGTAACTTGGTAGTCATTTTCAATCCTGGGTTGAATACCAAAATTTAAATTTTCAGCTTAGCGTATGTACTATTCAGACATGTAAAAACAGTTGAGTGCATGTTTTAAAATCACTATTGAGATTTACATTTTCTTTATCAGCTATCCCCCCTCGCTCACTCCACCCCTCGGTCCTCAAGGAGTTGAAAGTTTTGTTTCGAAGTCATATAGACGTACAAGAACGTTCTTTCTGTCAAAACTGCGAGACTAAGTTTTGTTACCAACAATATGAAAGGCTCTGAGGTTAGCCCGGAAAAAAAGAAAAGGGATACAATGCCAGCGAGAAGACTTCGTGAGGTAGTTTCTCCAAATCATGGAGATAATTTGGCTTTGCTGAAAGATGAGATACCCTTTGTTCCTCCAGCTTTGTCTGCATATAAACGTCTTCCTGCTAGAACAAGGACTACCTTAAATGGAACATCATGTGGTATGTAATTTCGTATAGTTTCTCAACCTTTTCTCACTTTAAAATCTTTAGTCCTTATTTTTATTTCCTTTTGTGTTTCAAAATTTAGAGGATTCTTAATGTTCCAAAACGTAAGTTAAAAGTGTGGTTTGCACATATGTTTAAAAACTGAATGTTTCCTGGGAAAATGGCCAGGCAGAGTCTACATAATGTTTGAATAGATTGAATAAATGAAATTTTAACATCTGCTATTGTGGATTTTCTGGGGGGGGGGCGGGGCTTTTTGCACATTGTGTCTTCCAATTGGGTCCTACATGAATGCAGAGTTTATAGTTCAGTTTGTAAAGGTTCAAATTTAAAAATAACCAAAATTGATTCCTTTATTTTGTTAGGTTCATCAGCCTTAACTGCTGCTAGAAATTATCACCAGTCTCCATTAGAAAATCCCGCTGCATCAGAAAGTGTAAGCCCAAAAGGATTCTTAATTATGCTTACATTACAGTTTTTGATATTGTCAAATAATGTGTTCTTAAAATGTGTTTGATTAGTTATATGCCTTTTTAAAATTTAAAT